GATACAATCAGCAACACATTAAGATCAAGCACAACTTGGAAAGTGACCACCTGTGGTAGTCACTAGTCTATTACCCTTAAATCATTTGAATTAAATTGAAATCAAGAAGCAGTCCAGAACATGTCTGCAGTGAACAAAATTTCAATATAGTGTGTATTTACCATTTAATGGCTCAGACAGAGGGAGGATGCAAGACCCCTGGTCTCAGTTAGCTGATGGCTGAACCCCATGAGGCTGACTGACCTCGGGCTACAAGGCGCAGATTGAGTTCCCCAACCTTCTGAATGGCTGAACTCCACAACGTTCTATTACAGGTTTCCCACACCCTTTCTTTAAAGATGTTCAAAGTTGGAAACTCAACCATTTAATGGCTCAGACAGAGGGAGGATGCAAGACCCCTGGTCTCAGTTAGCTGATGGCTGAACCCCATGAGGCTGACTGACCTCGGGCTACAAGGCGCAGATTGAGTTCCCCAACCTTCTGAATGGCTGAACTCCACAACGTTCTATTACAGGTTTCCCACACCCTTTCTTTAAAGATGTTCAAAGTTGGAAACTCAGAAAAATACCTTTGATGACCACCTCTGCCTCTGCATAGTGGGTCCAAAAACTGGCACAGTCAGGAGGTCTGAGAGTGGGGGGGCGAAGGGAGTTATGGGGTTCAGAGGTGCCCTTACTGCTACCTTCCTGGCACTGGAGTGATGGCAGCTGGGGTGGGAGAAGGCCTGGCTCTCCTTCCCTAGGTGGATTGGGGCCCAGGCTCAAGAAAAGAATTTAAAGAAATGGTTTCTTTGATGTATTTTCCCTATGGGTTATTGAGAAATTCACCCTTAACTATGGAGCATATCTGGCAACATCTATATCAGTTAATATTTTCAGAGTATTTTCTTACTGGAAAAGATACAGAGGATGTTTTATTATACATAAATTCTCTATTTTGGAGTAATAATTTAAGCCAGAGAATTTTGATCATGTTAAATGGTTCTTCTAAATTAAAGATACATCTGTATATCTTTTACTACTTACCAGTAGAGAATCACAGTGATTAGATGTGCACTTTCTTTTAGAAGTAATACATGTTAGTTCTGAGGGTACTGGATTTAATACACTTGTTATGTAGGCTAAAACCTTCCAAATTCTACTGGAGCCCATCACCTGGGACAGATCTTTATCTTATTCAGCCAGGTATGCTTGTGACCCTGTACCTTGGGGCTTTCATACACAGAAGATCTAGTATGTAACTAAACCTGGTGGTAGGAGCTCAGTGGAGCCAATGGCAAGACAAATTATGGAAGCAACCTGAAAGACCATATGAGCTGTTCGTATTTTACAACAAACTTTCATTCTTGTAGAAGCAGTTATTAAATTAATATTGGATTGAAATTAAGTGATTGAATTAGGGAAGAAAGATTATTTTGGTCCATCAGACAAAGATTCAGGCCTGCAACAAAAGCGTCCATTCCAATAGAAGTGAGAAAGTATGGTCATCTGTCTTTACAGGAATTAGAACAACTAAATGGATTTTTCATTTTCGAGTTTCTTCCTCTGAGCCTCATAATTCTGTGATTAGAGACTCTCAGAAAGTGAGGAAGGGCCTCTTTGCTGGTGTGTGGTTGGTGAGAGAAGTTGGAGCATTTCCTCTTTCAGGATGGATTAGATATTACTTGCTTTACTTAATGTGCTAAAATGTGCAACTTCTACCTCATCAATCACTACATCATGAAACTTTTAATTTCTGCAGTAAAGGTTTTTAAATCACTTAGCAGTCAGCCACTCTTTCTTTGAAAGACACAAGTTTTGTTCCTTGAGGGATTGCTCACAGGAAGAAACTTATTCTGCAGAGATTACTTAAATTGAATTTGTTCCAAATATTTTAACAAACTAATTTGTTAAAAGTGGTTATGATGCAACAAAGTCAGAATGGACCTGCACATGTAAACGGAAGAATTGGTTTCCTGTTGGAATGACTCAGAGGCCAAGTTGGAGCACATCTTCAGCTTGCACATAGTCCTGGAAGTGGTGGAAGGTCTCCATCTCCTGGGAGGAGATTGGGAAGGACAGGCACATGTTTGTAATTAGCAAGGAAGAGGCCTTAAAAGATGCAACTTGGATGACTAAAAGACTGAAGAATTCTGCTTCTGCTTGTGAGAAACTTCTATGATTCCCTTTTTGAAGAAATTAAATCCCACCATTTTCTAAGTACATAGCTTAGTGGTCAGGCACATCAGTGTCTTTGAAAAATCCTGAAAGCATAATCTTTTTTGGTTACTTCAGCATGAAATATCAAAAGAGAAAAAACATATAGCTAATTTTGGCTTATTTGAGGTATCTTGTTTTGAATTTGGCCAAGAAAGTTTCCACTTACTAGGTCAAATTTTTCCCTAGTTGTGCAAACATAGCACCTTTATTTTTCTATGAAGATGTGTTCCCTCAAGTGGAAATATGCTACATATCTCTTTAAACATATTTACATTTTAGTTATTGGCTTGGCTTCTTTACACTTTTGAATGAGAGAATGGGAAATCTATTGTGAAAATGTGCTTGCTGTAGCCACTTGATACTGTTTCTGGATCCCCTAGTCAGCTATGCATTATCTCGTGTTGTGTAAAGGCACACAGGTACAGGAGGTATTGTGGTCACACTCAGTAATAGAAACATTAATTTTCAGGACCATGGACAAGACCTAAAATGAAAGTTTATAGAAAAAACAGACAAGGGAAACTGAAAGAATATTCCTGTGATAGAGTGAAGTACAGCTGATATACTAAAAGTGACATAGAAGGTAAGTGAACTGGGAAAAATAAGCATCAAAAATAGAGAAATTAATCAGAATGCACCAAATATGTACAAAATATATTTTCTTGTAGTGCTGGAGCCCAATAGGTGTTTATTTTCCATTTTTCCACATAAAAAGTGAAACATATTACATATACAAGAAATAAAGCATCAAATTTATTACTCTTGTTTGTGGGATATTATGTTTTTCATGATAGGTTAACACAGAAGTATAGTTATTTTTAGATATATTTGAATTAGAGATGTTAGGGACAGTGAGAAAGATAGGGAAAGGGGAATAAGGGAAAAGGAAAAAATATGAGAAAATGTAAAAATGGAATTAAAGTGTTTGAAGGGTGGAGGGGAGGAGGGGGTGGAGAGAAGGTGGGAACAAGGGGAAAAAAATGAGAACCAAGACCTGATATGTAAAGGTACAAGATCCCAGTAATGAATGTAACTGTACTGTCTACCTAGAATGTACCAATAAATTGAATTTAAAAAATTGTATAACATGAGTTTAAACAGTGTAAGAGAACAAGTATATCTTATGTTGTATAAACTTGATATGGACTTCTACATATTAATTTCAAAGCCATCCCAGCAAACATGCTAGTGCATATAGTTAGAGAAATCCACAATCTGTGAAGTGTCTCATCTATGGTCACTTGTTGTTAGAAAGTACAAGGCAGACAAATTTTAAAATTGTAGGGTTGTATCAGATGTTCTTAAATTTTTGTCTTGGAAATAGTCACTGGTTTATGTTGACAGTATAATCATACTTCTATTCAATTTTCTAGTGTCAAATCTTTGATACATTAAACTATATTATATGTAGTGGAGTTTATTTGCTCTATTTTTCTATTATGGAAACAATTATTCTGTTCAGCTGAAGATTTTTCTCACTGAAGCCCAGAATTGCTAATGAAAATAAAGACACTAAGTGTTGCAGAAAGGGGTGAAAAAGGAGAATTGGACATAGACTTCTTTGTATCTTTATGGTCTTCAACAGGTATGCCCATTTCTCTACAAAGCTTCAACACAGGCAGATTTCTTGAATGTGCTGCAAACAGTACTGTGAATGAGAAATGTAGAAGGCTCATTATAGATGGCTTCAAAGGCAGTGTGGACTTTTTGAGCAGGTCTTCTTCTACAACCAGAAGCCTCCTGCTTCCTCTTAGTCAAAATACAGTTGTTCATAGAGAAATATTTCTAGTACTTATATAGAGTAAAATAGCTAATACCAAGACATACAATTGTATCTTTTCCCCCAAAGGGTTAATGAGTTATAACTATACTATACTTCATCTCCTGTCCTATGTCAATAATTCCTATTCATTTCAGAAATTCTGGTGTTGCACTCTGATAAAATGCTCCCAGGGAACCATTCATAACTGCTTATAACAGGGTATAAGTTTTTAAATTTTACCTGGTACCCCACAATAGTCTAGAAACCACATATAGTAATAACTACAGGAGTAGATGCTCTGAGTGTCCTTATGCTAAAAATGATGGAATGGAACCATACGGATGTTTAGTAAATTGCTGAAGTTCACCTAGATAGAAAAGGAATTAATGTGGGATTGCAACCCAAGCGCTGCCTCTCCAGTGTGCACATTGTTCATGACTGTGCTATGCTCTCTCTAAGGATGTCTTGGAGGCTGTCTAGATTCATACTGAATGAGAAATCTAGAGATATTATTTGGTTACTTTACTTGTAGCATCCCATTTGCCACCGGATAGCTTTTTGCAGGACCCAGTGATGGGCTGGAAAACTTTTATTTGATTATGTAAATGTGAAAAAATGGAAAATGTCAGCAAATGAAGAGGCATGAGGGTAATACTGATAGTGTTGTAAATTGTTTAATTGGACAGATACTGATTGTCTAGTTCAGTCCCTTTGGTTTTCAATGTGAAGCATTTATAATTGCACTTTAAAAATGATTCAAATATATTCTGTTTCAAACCAAGTACAGACTTATACCTTTAGTTGACTATTTTTGGGATCTATGTAGTCACGTTCTATTTCAGAGGGCTCTCAATGCTTAATCATTACATAAAAAACTCTTACTTGCTGGTCTCTATGTCTCTCCTTAGGTTTTCTTTTCTTATATGATATAACAATAAAGATGCACTCTGTGATAGATTGTCATTATTCTGGTCACTATTTCCTGGCAGGTGCTGCTCTCCTGAGCTCTCATCTCTGAAGCAAGCCTTCTGGAAGACTGAATGGGAGAGGTTAACAATGTCACAGAATTTGTCCTCCTGGGCCTGACTCAGGATCCCAGTGCACAAATTGCATTATTTGTCATGTTTTTACTCATCTACATTGTGACAATGCTGGGCAGTCTGCTCATTGTGGTAACTATCCTTGCCAGTCCCTCTCTAGGCTCCCCAATGTACTTCTTCCTTGCCAATCTGTCACTCATAGATGCAGTTTATTCCAGTACCATCTCACCCAAGTTTCTTATGGATCTGCTCAGCAATGGGAAGACCATTTCTTTCTTAGCCTGCATGAGCCAGCTCTTTATAGCACACCTGTTTGGTGGTGCTGAAGTCTTCCTTCTGGTGGCGATGGCCTATGACCGCTATGTGGCCATCTGTAAGCCTCTGTACTATCTGACCATCATGAACAGACGGGTTTGTATCTTTTTTTTGGTAGTGTCCTGGGATGCAGGTTTTGCACACTCTGTGACTCAACTTGTGTTTGTGTCTCGTCTCCCCTTCTGTGGTCCAAATGTCATCAATCACTTTGTCTGTGACATGTACCCATTACTGGAGCTTGCCCGCACTGACACCTGCCTGATTGGCCTCACTATGGTGGCAAATGGTGGATCCATTTGTGTGGTGATCTTCACCCTCCTCCTCATCTCCTATGGGATCATCCTCAACTCTCTTAGAATTCAAAGCCAGGAAGGGAGGCGCAAGGCCCTTTCTACCTGCAGCTCCCACATCAGTGTGGTTGCCCTTTTTTTTATTCCCTGCATTTTCATGTATGTCAGACCTGTCTCCAACTTTTCCTTTGATAAATTCATAGCCATTTTTTATACACTGATTACTCCTTTGTTAAATCCTTTAATATACACTTTGCGAAATTCAGAGATAAAAAATTCTATGGAAAAACTCTGGCTTAAGAATTTAATTACTGAGAGAAGCTGTTACTAATTCTACTGTAAGAAACACGTAGTAAATCCTAGCAAAAAATGATGCTGTCCCCTCACCAGATTGTTTAGGGCTGTATCTCTTTATATAAAACCATTAAAGAAGAAGAACAAGTTATCCTTTGTGTTGTAATTATTTGTAGTAAATTTGTGGAAGATGTGGTAAAAGTCCCACTTTTTGTTCTTCTACAAGTGAAGATAAGGATAAAGCTAAGCACAGTAGGCCTTTTAACTTGCTTTTTTTTTCTCAATTTAGAGTAAAATGGGACTTTTGCAAAGTGCTTGCTTTTCTTATAAAGAAGAAATAAACACTTTAGGAAATTTTCTATAATCCACATTTGTGAGAAAGGAAGAAATCTAATGTTCAGATAATTTCTGGGACTAGAAGAAAAGTTTTTAAAGTGTCCTGATCATATTTGATCAGGGCAGCAGGTTTGTTACCTACTTTATGAACTTTGTTTCAGGATTACTTTTATTTTGCAGGTTCCAAATGTATGTGTTTTCAATAAGAGTTCTTGGATAGAAGGTGATTCTGTGTTCAGCTAAAAATATTATCAGTGAACAGCTTTTTTATAAAACAGATCCACTTGATGAGGAAATCAGATTCAACTTCTTTATTACAGTTTGATATTTTATTTCAGAAAGCCATAAGAAGCCAATTTTTTTTGGTACTGGGGCTTGAACTTGTATCCTTGTGTTTTTAAGGGAAGCCAATTTGAAATTGTAGTGTTTTGGCAGGTACCCACTGTTGTGGAACCATAAAGTCAAATGTTTTGAATGTTTATCACCCCAAAATATATTCTTATACATTTTTAGTAAATTTGTCTCAACCCAGTATGCCCTGGAACACTCTGATGCATTTGTGTCCTAATTTTCTTTTCCCAAAATGTTGCATTAATAAATATGAGCCACACAGTACATTGCCCTTTGAATCTGGTGTCCTCCTTATAAAGCTTTGGAGGTCTCTGAGTATTCCTGCTTATATTAGCAGATCACTAATTTTTATTGCTGAGTGGTGTTAACATTGCACAGACATACCATAATATTTCTTTAACCTTTTTAATCCCTTTTCCAATTAGAGATATTTTGGTTTACTGCAGATACCAGAAATTATGAATGAATCTATTCTATCATAATAATATATAACGTATGTTCATAGAGACGCTTTCTCTTAACATAATTTCTGGTCTGACCTTTATGGTTTCCTTCCCTGTATGAGCTTTGGGTTTGTCTTGCTCTATTTTTTCTTGGAGCTTGAAGTCCTGCACCAGAAAGTTCATTAGAACACTGCTTATTTCTTCCCTCTTGCTCCCCTTTCTTGTCTTTGACCCCCCACTGAGTCCCTTCCCTGAGCTTTTCTGAATATGTGTAGTTGTGTATTGGACCTAATGAGTCATAAAGGCCTTGGATGCAGTGTCACATACATAACTAAAAGTAAAAGCATTCTAAAGGGGTTTTCTTTGACTCATTTTCCCTAAGGGTCATTAGTCATAATTTGAACCAAAGAAGTTTGATTATACTAGGTTGTTCTTCCAAATGAGAGATAGATCTGTAGACTTTTTTCTACTTAGCAATTTGAGCACCACAATGATTAGATGTGCAGTTTCTCTCAGAAGTAATACAGGTTACATCTGGATTTAATACACTTTACAGGTATGTTAATAACTTCCACATTCTACTGGATCCCATTACCTAGTAAAAATATTTATCTAGTTCTGTAGTATGCTGGGACTTTTGGACACAGAAGATCCAATATGTAACTAAGCCAGATGATAGGAGTTGAGTGGAGCTAATGGAAAGATAAATTAAAGAAGTAACCTTGGAAGACCAGAAGAGCTGTTCATATTTAAAAAAAAAACATTCATTCTTGTAGAAGCAGTTATTAAGGTAACATGAGATTGAAATTAAGGGATTGAATTATAGAAGGAAGATCATTATGGTCCATCAGCCAAAGATTCAGGCCTTGATCAAAATCTTCCACTTCAGTAGAAGTGAGAAACTTAAATAGGATACACATGTACAAATACTGAATAGTTTCTGTGGTGTGAGAAGCTGAAAGTGTAAATAAGGATATGACTGTATAATAGGTAATGTGAAATAAGAAGAAAATGTACAAAGGGGAGAGACTGTGGGACAGGAAAAGAGAAAGAAAAAAGGGAATGGAATTAATCTGAAAAATGGCAGAAATGGAAGCCAAGTCTTGTAGGAGGGCAGAGCAAAGGGAAAAATAAGAATCAAGTTATATTATCTAAAGGTACAAGTCTCCAATGATGAATGACATTATATTTATGTCTAAGGTGTACCAGTAAATTAATTATAAAAGAGTTTTGCTCACTGGGAAAAATCCAAAATCAAATCAAACTAAAAGAAAACATAAAAGAAACAAGAAATTATGGTTTTCTGCTTTTCAAGAATTACACTACCACAGTGGATTTTCCACTTCCAAACTCCTTCTTCTAAGATTCAGCATGCCATGGGCAGAGACCCTTAGACAGTGAGGAAGGGCATCTTTGCTAGTGTGTGGTTGGTGAGGGAAGTTGCACTGTTCCCTTCTCAGGCTGGATTACATATTACTTGCTTTATTTACTGTCACAATGTGCAGCTCCTACCTCATCAATCATTACATTGTGAGACTTAATTTTCACACTACAGGTTTTCATATCACTTAGCAGTCAGCTACTCTTCTTGGAAGGACACAAGTGTTGTTCCTTGAGGGATTTCTCACAAGAAGAAACCTCTTCAGCACAAATTACTTCACTTGTATCTGTTCCAAATATTCTAACAAACTAATCTGTTAAAGTACCGATGATGCAAGAAAGTCAGCGTGGACCTGCACATGTAAACAGGATTATTGATTTCCTGTTGGAATGACTAAGGTTTCCTTCAAGTTAAATTCAGGCCAAGTTGGAGCACGTCTTCAGCTTGCATGTAGTCCTGAAAGTGCTGGACGGTCTGCATCTCCTGGGAGGAGATCGGGAAGGAAGGCACATGTTTTTAATTAGGAAACAAGAGGCCTTTAAAGATGCAACTTGGAAGACTGAAAGACTAAAGAATTGTGCTTCTGCTTGTGAGAAACTTCTGTGATTCACTTTTTGAAGAAATTAAGCCCCAGCATTTGCTCACTAACTGCATGGCTTATTGGTCAGGCACATTTATGACTTTGAAAATTCTTGAAAGCACAATCCTTTTTGGTTACTTCACCATGATTATCTGAAAAGAGAAAAAAATATAACAAATATTTGCTTATTTGTGGCATCGTATATTGAATTTGGACAGAACTGTTTCCACTTACTAGGTCAGTTTTTAATGAACTGTTGCAAACATAGGACCTTTGTTTTTCTATGAAGACGCTTTCCCAGTAGGTGGGAATATGCAACACATTCTTTAAATGTATTTACATTTTAGGTATTGGCTTGGCTTCTTTTACACTTCTGAATGAGAAATTAGAAAGTGTACCATGAAAACATGTTTGCTGTAGACACTTGCTACTGTTTCTGCTTCCCCTAGTTAGCTGTGCATTATCTCGTGTTGTGTGAAGGCACACAGGCACAGGAAGTATTAGCAGTCACCCTCAGCAACAGAAACATTGATTTTCAGGACCATGGACAAGACCCCAGAAGACTGAAAACAACAGAAGAGAAACTGAATCGATATTTCTGTCAAAGAGTAAAATATAAGAAATATATTAAAGTGATATAGGAGGTAAGTAAAGGGGAAAAATTAAGTGCAAAAAATAGATAAATTATTTAGAATATACAAATATGTTCAAAGTTTATCGTGTTAAAGCACAGTAGGTGTTTATTTTCCATTTTGCCCCATAATAAGTGGAACATGTTACATGTATAGCAAAGAAAACACTGGATTTATAGTCTAGTTTATGGTATATATTTTTCAAGGTAAGTTAACACAGAAGTATAATTATTTTAGGATATATTTGAATTTGAGGGTTATAGTATAAAATAACATCACTTTAAACAGTGTAAGGGAACAAGTGTATAATATGTTGTGTAACCTTGATATGGACTTCAACAAATTCATTTCAAAATCATCCCAGCAAACATGCTAGTGCTTATATTTAGAGAAGGCTATGATCAGTGATGTGTCTCATCTGTGCTCACTTGTTATTGTGAAGTACGAGATAGAGTACTCTTTCAATTGTAGGGTAGTATGAGGTGCTCTTAAAATTGTATTATTTGAAAGGATTAGTGGATTATGTTGACAGTATTATCGTACTATTCTTCAACTTTGTATTATCAAATCTTTGATAAAAAGCTATATGGTATGAAGTGGAGTTTAATTGCTCAACTTTTTGTATTATGGAAAAAATTTTTCTGGTCAGTTGAAGATTTATTACAGTGAATCCCAGAAGTGCTGATGAGATCAAAGACACTAAGCACTGCAGAATGGCATGAAGCAGGAGAGTTGGACATAGACTACTTTGTGTCCTTATGGTCTTGAGCAGGTATGTCCTTTCTCTACAAAGCTTCAGCAAAGGCAGATATCTTGAATATGCTGCAAACAGTACTGTGAATGAGACACACAGAAGGACTGTTACAGGTGGCTTAAAAATACCTGGACTTTTTCAGCAGGTCTTGCTCTACTACCCCAACCACGTGTGTGGAGTCTCCTGCTTCCTCCTAGTCAAAATACAATTGTTCATAGATAAATATTGCTAGTGTTTATATATAATAAAATATGTAAGCCCAAGACATACAATTTTATCTTAAACCCCCAAAATTGTTAATGTGTGTATGTACACACACACACACACACACACACACACACACACACACTACTGTTTCCCTCTTGTCCTTTGTCAATAATTCTTATTCAGGCAAGAGAAGCTAGTGATGTGCTATGATACAATGCTTACAGTGAACCCTTCAAAAAGGTTAAAAAATAAATATCAGTTACTTTAATGTTTTCCGGAACACCACAGTAGTCTAGAAACTGTACATATAGTAATGACTCCAGGAGTAGATACTCTGGGTATCCTCATGGTAA